GCCTAACGTTTGGCAAAGCAATAAAGTGACAACAGCAGCTACAAGTCCATTGAAGTTGGCACAGAGACAGTACTGACAATTCCCGCAAGAAAAATCAGTGGCAGTGACAACGCCGAATGGGCGGATGGATGAACGGACGGACGCACGAATGGATGTATGAAGTTGTTTGCAGGCAGGCAGCCATCTAGGCAGGCAGATGAAAACACTGTTGATGCTCGCTTTCCTTTTGCCTTTGCCAAGTTTTTGTTTTTGTGTGCGTTTTTTTCTTTTCATTTCTTTTATCTGTACACACAATTTTCTTTTTTATTCCTTTTATAGTTTACCTTTCTGCTTTTCATCTTTACGCTTTTTTTCAAGTTTCATTCTCTGCACTTGTCAATCATTTGTTTCTATTATTCCATTGTTTGTGCTCTTTCGCCCGAACTGTAATGTAAGTGACACACTTTTTACTACCTTCTGAACAGTTTTTAGTGAATGCGACTATATTGTCGAAGGGGAGAAAGATAATGAGAATCGACGGCACAAAGTACCTTAGTAAATTTTTTTTATCTATTGGCAAACATCCGTAAAAAAATATGTGTCAAAATGTGTGTCTGCTAGGAATTATGATAGTAGAAACTTAAGGTAGTTGTAAAGTAAACGTTGAGAAAAAGGAGGACCTGGCAGACATAGTGGTTGCGATGGCTAGGTTATTAGTTTTCAGGACCATGGCTAATCACGTGAAACCCCATTGTCTTATTCCTTCTGATGTCTGTTTGTGGAAGCAGAAAAGTCCAAGAGATAATTGTTAACTTTTGAGCACAGGTCATTAATCTGTGAATGTTCGACTCATCCATCTTCTGCCCCCTCCAACTACTGCCTCTCATCCATTTATCTTTAGAGTGGATGTGAGTGAAAAAAGCTCTTTGGTGCCAGTCTGGCTGCACAGTGATTCGTCTTAACACTTCCGCTGGCTCGATCTCTTCCAGTAAAATTGTACGGCGCGTAGTATCGAAAGTCTTCAATAAGTTTAACATCCTTAGGACCTTTCACTCTCAACTGCGACAACGATTAAAGCCGCCAGATTCATGGGTGTTTCTAGTGGTATTTACAGGGTTCAAATGGTCCGCGAGCAATAACGGAGTAGCAATCCCTTACGTATTCACTGCTGAGGAAAAATGGGTGATTGGATGATAAGGCCGGTCTTTCTTAGGAAGGTTTTCCAGGTTTCGATAGCAAGACAACTCTGCCAGACTTCTGCATGTCACAAATGCTGAAATGGCACATTTACAAATTGAAGACCTTGGTGAGTTCGGCTGTCCCAATTGGACGTCAAAGTTTCAGTATTAGCATACATTTTCCATAGTAATCAATGGCTTTTGCCTTCCCTAAATAAGCAGCGCATCCGTTTTTGACAGTTTGGTCTGGTTTGGTTTTGACAATTGGGCCTGTCCAGGTCTGAATTTGCAGGACTTCAGAACCACTTGCAACGCTTATGTCAATTTCCCAACATAGGATCTGCGATACAGGGATTCCTGCGATTCTCCAGGCGTAAGTAGTCACGCTCGTTTCCCAGTAAGTCCTTTAGTGCGGAAAAGGTCTTAAAAGCGCTCTCGGTAAGTTTTACGAAGCCATGAAATCAATTTTGGTAAAAGTATTTTTTTAATTATGTGGTCTGCTGCAAGTACTGGTTGGAACGTCGTTATTTCATATCAGAATATCGAAACGTCTTCTCGACATCGCTGGAATGGATATCTTCTCTTTCGTATTCCTGCTGACAACATTGCCCACAGGGATCCTTTTCGATTGCTGATTCCTTCGTAAAGCGTACTGATCTTGGTGAGATTTTTTTAAAGATCATTCGGATCCATTGCATTTCAAACAATTTCTATATAATATTATTATTATTTTTTATTTTTTTAATCAAGTTTGCTGAAAGAGATAGAATCAACGTCTACATCACGGTAATGCGGTGGTGAGTTGTTGTTAACACGCTGATCCCATAAGATAGATCGTGTCAGCTGACACGTTCTCCATTTTTACGTCCGTGTGTAACTGCGCTTTCCTCTAGTCACTCGAACCTAAGGCTATTAATGAAATTAAGCACTTTTGAAGGTGTCATGTTCCAGACTCTGGATGGAGATGATAATCGCTCTGCAAGGTGTACAAATATACGTTGAGTTATACGCAGACAATCGCATAATATATGCCTCGAGGTTCCCTCCTCTAGCCCACAAAATCTGCAGTTCGTCTCCTCAGAGAGTCCCATTTTGTGTAGATGGTACCTCAGTCTGCAGTGTCTTGTCAGACATCCGGTGAGAGCTCTTAAGCCCTCTCTTCTAAGATTTAGTAGCCGCTTAGGGATTCCACGAGAGGGAGTTGTGAATTTTTTGGACTGCCCCTTGATCTTTGTCGTGTACCATTGGTTGCAACTTGCAAGTCCTGCCATCCCCTTAGGAGCATTGCTATGTATCCTCTGGATGGACCAACGGAAAGTTTGTACCTAGACCACTGACGATTAAAGAGAGCTCGCGCTCTCTGTGCAACCACATAAAACCATTCGAAACTTAAAAATTTATTTTCTTTCATTCCTAGAGAATAATTCCCCACAAATCGGAAGGCCAATGATAACGTACGGGTATTTCCTAGAGGAATCGGTATTCGAGTCTCAAGAATCATAAAACTCAAAGGCAAATATATACTTCAAGGCCCGAAAAGAAAGGCAAGACTTCCTCATATTTTGCTAAAGTACTATAACCTTATTTTAAAGACTTTTTAGCATACATATACATATGTAAGTACTTTCATATATCATAAAACTTTAGAAATCTTTGCTTACCTTTAACTTAAAAATTCTTTATATAAATTTTCCCTTTCTCGCTTTCTTGCTTTTTTCGCTACTCATGAATATCGCAACGCACCGAAACCGGAAGCGTTGAGATTTGCAAGCATTGCAAAGACGCCGGCTTTAGCCACAGCTACAAACATACTCATACGTACGGCACGAACACGAACTAACTTCCGCTTGCATATATGCATATATTTAGATTTGAGAAGAAAAAGTAAATTATCCACTTAAAAGTATGTTGCGGCGCAGTAGGAATAGTAACCGGGAGCACATGTGTAAGTTATTCTAAGTTGCATATATGCATGTACATATTTACTATATGTACGAGTTTGTAAGTATGTAGCAATGTTTGATATTTGACTGAAGTCTTGTAAATCCCAAATATGTCAGGCTGCTACTTGACAGCCGACTACTTAGGCAAAATAAAGCAACGCATGCACAAAAGCAGGTAATATGTAAGTTTGTATGTATGCACTTGTATGTTAAGTAAGCATGGGATTGTTCGTTAAAGTTTCGGTTTATGCTGAAGATGCTGCTACTGCCACTTGTTTTTTGCTGATACTACCTTTGCTCTTCCGCTTCACCTTCGTCTTGTGCGCGCTTCCTTCGCCAGTTGTTCCGCACGCACACACACACACACAGGCAGTTGAAGCACCTTTAATCCTTAAGCCTTAATCCCGGCTGATAACGAAAACGTGCAGACTGAATGGCTCCGCGCCGCTGCTACTATTGCTGGCCTCATTGAAATGCAACGGCAGCGATGTTGCCGTTTAGCGTTGAATTTACAGCGGAGGGAAACGAAAAAGCGGTGATGATGATGCTAAAGCAGCTGTGTTCTGTTGAGGGACAGGGAAAGGAAGCCAAATTGTTAGTGCGTGTGCGTCGCGAAAAGAGCGGCAGACGAGCTGAGAGAGAGGAGAGCGCGAGTAGTTGAGTAGGTCGTAGTGAGCGCGCACAGCTTAAGCAAAAAAAAATGTATGCTGCACGGCGAGAGAGTGGGTGCAATACACTGTACACTGCCTCTAAACGTGGGAATTTCAATTATCAAACGGCGAATTGTTCACTTTTGTTTTGTCCAGCTATTGTTTTTAGTCGTTGAAACAACAAAACGAATAATTGCATTTAATAAGCGATGCGTAAACGCACTTTCTTTTGGGCACAGTATCCACCAGTTGGGGAGCCACCGAGCTATTGTTAGCCGACGAATCTGTTGATTTAATGCTTGGGAGTGCTGTGGTGAGCCGGTTTGTGTTCGAGGCTTTGAACTCTGCACGCTGCGCTTGGGTGATAACAAGTATTTTTTTAAGCGAATATTCAACTGACTTTATTACAGCGCGTATTAAAATTCGCGCACTTGGTGTTGGCTTTAGATATTGTTGCATTTTTCTGTTGATGTGTTGCATTATTCATCGTTTATTTTTAGCGCATATTTTATTCTTACTGTCTCATTATATATGTATGTATATTTATTATTATTGCTTTCCTGGATCGCATGAGTCTGTTTTAATATTTTTTTACTCCAATCAGTTTTTGTATTTAACATTTTTTTATTTTTTTGTGCATTGTTTTATCACGTTATTCGCATACATATTACTTGTCCCTAAACGGTTTTAAACTCCTTTGCCTCGTTGCTTTCAGTACTAAAGTCTGGAAAAACAGTATGAGAAAATTCATACCTTGACGGGAGGAAAGTTAGATCTAATTTAGGAGTCATGAAAACTCGGGGTATTTTGTGATACCGCATGGAAGTTACAATCATCCACGCTCCCCTAAACCAATTAGGCTGTTCTAAGAGGGCTTTGAATCCCCTCTTATGCTGTTGACGGGCAGTGAAAAATAAGGTGTTTTAGTCTTCTTTTCATTCCATGCAATTTCTTCAGTAGTCATTCGCGTGGGGTGACATTCATGGATAGCCACAGTACTCTGGCAATTTGACAAGAGGTTCCAGATTTGTGTTCAAAACGCTGCTGGTGTCAGATATGTAGGTGGGATACTGGGTTTCATGGTTGGATCTATTCTGCTTAAATAGCCCCCAGTTCCCCGGATTTAACGGACTTCTCACTTTGAGCGTTGCGGTCGCTGGATAACCAATTAAGCCAAAGCTAATTCATTATAATAGAAGAGTTAAGTGTGGACAAATCTGAGACTATGAAATTGCCTCAGGGTCTCTGAAACACCCTTGAACTCAGGACCATTCAGAACGATACTTCGGCGACTGTGACCTAGTGCCCCATAAAAAACAAAAAAAAAAGGATTTAAAAAGAAGACTTCGACGTTTTCTTGATTATCAGATTTGAAGGTAAGCAGATGAAATATCTCATTTGGAAACCAAAAGTAGAGGCAGTGGCTACTCGTTTTCATACAGATACAAAAGCATAGTTTCCAAATGCTGCATAGTAGCTCTCATCCCACTATTTGTTGGTGGTTTAAGCCTAGTCATTGCAGTTTTCCTCAGTTTGGTCCGGAATTCCTTTGGCATCTAATGCGTAAAAATTACTATTTTGTGAAGGCTGGTTCGCATGCTGAGCAAATGACTGTGACAACCAATTCTGCCTGGTCTAACTGTATAAGAAATGAGTTTTCTGTGTGTATCCCCCAGGCGAAGGGATTACCTTGTTTCTCGCTGGAGCCCAATTTCAGCGCAGGATAAAGAATAACACAACGAACTACGGCTACCGAAATTGCAACTATTTTCCGTCCAGTGACAACTGATGGGTTGCGAACAGATGCGCAGTGTTGTGCAGACCATTACCATATGCTAGACATATAAAACATGAATCCTAATTCTGTGAGGGTTTAGTGTACTGCGCCAGCCTGAGAGGAGGTGAGCTAGAGTGATTTCCGTTTCCCTTGGGACTGGAAAGATGTGGTGGACGGTCCCTTACTACGATGTTTTCGCAATGGGTTTCCAACACTTCATGATAGTGAGTTTAATTCTTGCGGCTAAACAGCATTCAACACATTACGCCACCTTGTTAAACTAATTTGTGGTATGCGTCTTGACGTTGCTACACAAATGAAGGGACAGTTTTAAGCCGAGTTCGAAAGGCAAAAATGCATACGGTGGTTTGACATTTGCCCTCTTAGAGGTGACCGTAATTAGAAGGAAGCTTTATTTTAGAACTTCGTCGGAGCATAAATCGAAAGTAAGTCCTACCAGTCCGTAGATTGGTCATAGCGGTTCTTTGTTCGATTCTTCGTGGCTTGAAACTCTTGTCTCTCAATGCTACCGATGTGCGCCAGCCACAAATACGGCGGGATTGCTCACACCATTAGGGCGTAACAGATAAGCTACAGTAACTTTCTTTATAAAAATTTCCTGCTTTGTCCTAACACCGTCTCTATAAGGTTTTCTAATTCACATTACAATGCAAATTTGCAGCAATTTCTTCACCCAAGCAACGCTCCTAATATTTACACACATTTTACTCCCTACCTTCCCTTTTTGTTTATTTGCATAAACGCTCTCTCGGCATGCTCTCTCCCAACTACTCGGTTTCTCGCTCGCTCTCTCAGCTATTTTGTGGGTGGCCGGCTCTGGCTGCTTCAGCGCTTGGACGGTTGGGCTGTGCCAGCAGGTGGCTTTGCAGTTGCTATTACATACTTTAATTGTTGTTGATGCCGCTGCTGCTAATGTTGTATTTGCGAAAACGTCAAGAAAGAAAGTTGGGAGTTGGTTAATTTTCGTTGTCATTCATACACACACAATTCTTTTTCCACGCAACGAAATTCGATTTTTCGCAAGTTTTTTCCAGTGTTTTTATTTGAGCATTTGTTAAGGAAATTTTATTCGAGCTTTTTTGTAGAATTCACAGCGATTGAATTGCGTTTTTTCACAAGCCTCAAATCGAAACGACACAACTTATTTGCCACACATATGTATGTATGTACGCGCTAAGGCTAGCAGCTGTCTCGAAAGCACACTTTTCGTCTGTCGTTACAAGAGCGAGTGGAGAATCTCGGTTTTTTTTGCTTTTCACGGCGCCGCTTACAAATGGTATGCGAACTGATGTAAGTCGGTATGCAAAGCATATAAATTTTTGTGTATGTACTTATGTAAATACATACATATGCATGTGTGCATATGTAAAATTTCATGTAAATGCATGCCACATTCTACTAGCTGTACGTCAATGCACTTTGTAACTTTTAACTAGTTAACGCTCCTCTCCCACCATACACCACTCACTGCACTTACATACATTTTTGTTGTTTTTGTGGCTGCTGCTGTGAATTTTTCGCGAACATTCAAAACTCCGAACGTCGAACACTGTTGCTCAATACTTTTTAAACTTTCTTCTCGTTCTCACTTTACATGTAAACGCGATTTTTTTTTCACAAAACTAATCGCAATAAAATTATATTACAAATTGTATTTCAACACCGAAACGATCATTAGCATAAAACACAAATCGAAAATAAAATCCAGCCCAATCGTATGGACAAAAAGATAATTACACGGCGGCGAAGGCGATGGCTAAGGCAAAGGCAACGACAACGCGACGACGATACCAAAAACACAACTTCACTGATAGATGACAGCAGAAAAACTGCTCTTCCCCAACAACGATGAGTTCTATCATCACTGCCGTATGTAACGTATGAGCCGCTACCGAAGCAACAGTGAGCAGAAACTCAGCATACACACAGTAGTGGATATCAAGCGACACACACTAACCTACACACCGCCACTTTTATCTACAGTGCATGCAGTCGTCGGCGAGCCATGCCCATGCGAATGCCAGTTGTGGCACCAACAGAGTGGCTGCAACGAAGTGAATACACAAGCACACCTACACCTAACTACCTCACACCTTATTATTATTTTTACCTTACTTGTGTGGCATGCGAATTTTCGTACTCTTCGCTCATTTTCGAGCGCCAACAATTTGGAATGCATACTCTTTTGAGGTCATCGATAGGAGAAGAAGAAAACATCATTCATACAATTACATACTATCATGCCACTTACGAGTACCAGCGATGGGCTTTTTATTGCGTGCTTGTGACGTGCTAGTTTAGAGGCTTGGCTACGAGCACGTCATGCACTCGAGTGCTCTTTAGTGAGCGCATGAAACTGTGAGTGGGTTCACTCTTTTACATTCGTATAAAAGAGTAAATGTCAAGGTATTTTCTATTATTAAGTCACACAGGGTGTGTCAGAGGCCTTAAAAATAAGTTAAAAATAGTAGCTGAATTTATGTTCGTAGAACTTTATGATAAAGCACACAAGTGGACTGAAGAGAGCTTTAAGCCTAGCTTCTAAGGTTAGCAAAATATTGTGGTGTAATCCTTGAAGGCAAACCTTTATGGAAGTCTCACGTTGAGCAAAAGACCCCCAAGGCTTTAACAGCATTATGATAATGTAAAAGGATCCTTGGTAAGGCGTGATGTATGTTACTTAGAGGAATACTGTGGTGTAGTGGAGGAGACTCTCAACTAATAGCGTGGGAAATCTACTTTCCAAACTTAAAATAACGATTGCAATGTACTATACGGGAGCTGTCCCTACAATACCTGGGGCTGCTCTGGATGTATTACTAAACCTAGCGACGCTTAATATTTTTATCCGCGGGGAAGCCTTTAAAGCCAGCTGTAGGTTTTAGGTAGAAATTCACACTTGAATGCCTTTTCTATTACACAGAATAGTACGCCACAGTTCCCTGAGGCTGAGTGCTGACTTAACTCCAATACTGATCCCTTGCTTTAACTAACCAAGGAAACTACAACTATCGATTTTAATTCCAAGTTTTAGTCGGTCACTGTCCGAAGAGAATTCACGGTATAGGGATCAGGCTACAAGTATCTGCCATACTAAACGTTTTGAAAATTTTGAGGTTGAATCATCTGATTCTATCCATCCGCGTTGCACTTCGCTGGCCAAAGTATAACCAGCGTGGATCTCACTTCCTGGGTACATCTTTTAAATAATTACGAATGAAAATTTTACTTTCGAAAGTACCTAGAAAGCATGTAGCGATTCTCTTATTTCTTGCTTCTCTACCACACCTGAATATGTGACGAAAAAGAACCTCCTTGAAACAACCAAAGCACAACTGCTTATTGACATTAAACCTGTCTACTCTTAAAGACTGCTAAAGATATGTTGTTATCTCACCCTCCCTATATACTCTGGGACGCTAAGATTTAGACATCTTGGGTGTAACCAGCTGAGTACGTCATGTAAGCTATTCGGAATGTGTAGCTTCAAGCTATCGTGGAACAACTATGACCTTATTTCTTGAGCCAATGAGACTTCGATCTTTAACAACCTCGTTTCCCTGCTTTTCTTTTTTCACATTAAAAAATTAGGGCGTCTATGCACTTATAGAACTTTACATGCTAAGTTTACCTAATAGAGCGATTAAATTTCTGCCTGGGCAAAAGCAATTTTTTCTTTTTATTTGTTTTATTTTAATTGTTTTGACATTTCCATAGCACAGCAGCTCACTTCGAAGTGATTTTTAATTTTCTTTTCATTCAACTCATTCATCACTAAACTCAGAGCACTTGTTTTCAAACACTTTCAATCACTAGTACTCGTACTCCTCTTGCAGAGGAGTAAAAATCTTATAATTCATAAGAAAATTTTAGGGTGAGTCAGCTAAATTTTTTTCTTTTTATTTCTTTCATTCTTGTCTTGGAGAACAACTTTTTACTCCACTTTCCACCATTTTTTTTTACTTTACTTCTTTAAAGCTCACTTGTCACTTAATGCACCGCTTTAATTTCCTAAGTATAGTCTTTGTCCAAAAATTCAAGTTCTATTCTTGACTTTAAAAATAGAAGAAAAAAACCAACCGCAGTATTCGGCAGTCCACTTCACATCATTCATTTTATCTTTAAACAGACTTATATGAACACAAATACATATTGCCTAATGGCAGTTATAACGGAATATGGGCATCCTTAATTCCTCATCTGGCAGATTGATCACAATGTTGAACCTCTTCTTATTTCACTTTTCTCGAGCTGTCGAGTTCACCTCTACCATAGCCTGTAGAATCAGATTGCTTTAAGCTCAATAAAAATTCACCTTTAATATTCCCTGCAGGGAAAGTTACTAGTTGTGAACTAGAATTCTACCGGTTTGCGTTTCAGCCGAACTAGTTCACGTTCTATCCTTTTTCAATGTTAGCGACTGGTATTTTTAACATATCGATGACCTACAAGATGTCAATTGTCAGGCTATGCATCAGCATCTACTAGTATAAATACTAGTAGCATCATACCAGTTGATGAGATAGTCTGCCAATTCATGCCCCGTGAAAAGCATAAGTGTGCCTTTTTGCTCGCGACGCTCCAGAAGTCACAATGGCCGACAGAGCAAAGCACTCGCGTGGTAAGCCTGAGGTCCCAGGTTCAAATCCCGGCGCAGGGAAAATTTTTTTATTTTCTATTTTTTATTTTATTTTTATTTTTTATAAATTTATTTTTTTGTTTATGCTGTTTATTTTAATTTTTAAATTTAATAAAAAAAATACTTTTGTTTAATTTCTTTGTTTTTATAACACAAGCATTTCTTCCTAAATG